GGCTTTTTTCTTTTTGCTTATGTGGTGCTGAGGAATTGAACCCAGGGCCTCATGCATGCAAGGCAAGCGCTCTACCACTGAGCCACCTTCCCAGCCCCAAATATATTCCTAATAGTTACTATTAGTATACTTACATCCAACTGACCTGCGTATGGCTTTAAGCCACATATTGCTGCACTTTTTAAAGATAACTTTAAATGAAATGCTTATTTGAGATTTTTTTCAAACTCTTTAAATTATGGAAATATCACTACAAAAGACTGGAAAAACATGGTATAAAAAAGAAACTACAATCACATATAACCACTCTTGCCATTACTGTTTTGCTGTTCTTTCTTTTATACATATATATTAATACATGGCTCTATTTATACATACATAATGTATTTACAAGGCTGAGATCATATTGTACCTACATCTCTACATCCTGCTTTTCCCCAACACATAACAAAAGCTCAAGTAAATATACTAAATTAATATCGTATCAATTCTCTGCACCAAAAATTATTTCTACGGAGGCATTTAGTTGTGTCCAGTTTTTAAGTGACAAATACACTTAAGATGTAACCTCAACTTTGTCTGCACTATAATTCCTTAGAAAAAGTTATTGCATCAGAGAGTATGAAATATTTAGTTTCCAACTATGTTGGAAAGATTATTTCCATTCCTACCAACAGCACTGCCTGTCTCACTGGTTGTTTGTGAACACTGACTTTTGTCACTTTTAAAAGTCATTTATATGAAAAACAAAGTTTGCTGAGAAACAGTTTTCCTATTACAAAATGAAGTCAGAGTCCTTTTACACTAAAGAATACATTCCAATCTAAAAACACAGACTCTATCATGCTTACTTCCCTTTTAAAACATTATTAGTTTAGTGTCAAAAGTATACATAAAGAAGCATGTGATCAGATTCAGAATATCTTTCAAGTTGTTAACAATAACCAAATGAGTAAAGATGTGTCTTCATCCTATACCACAGGTACTTTAGGTCATAGAACTGTAATTGCTGAGTACAAAACTTTAGTACAAAGGTGAGAGAAAAATAACTAAGTTGTAGTTTAGAAGTTTTCATCCATTTTGCATCAGAAAAGATCTTAAAGTTATGCAAACAAAATAATGTCTCATTGATCTAAGACAGACAGTAATACGAAATTATCATATACCAGAAATTATTCTTGTATTTTTAGCGATTTTTAAAGAAAAGTAACCAGTTATTTTGCTGAGATAGCTTTAGGACATAACTGTGGGGGAAAAAACTCAGTGATATATGATCTCATCAGAGCCCCGTACAACAAAAGATGCTTACAGATCTTTCTGATCTTTGGAAAATTTTTTATTCAGTTTAAAAACTATAAGGTATTACTTGCAGCTGATGAAAAGGAAAAAAAAAAGTTAAATCTATGTTATCTGATTGGCTAGTTAAAATTCTCGAAGATTCAAATTAGTGACATATCTTTACTTTGTGTGGATTTATGAGTCTTAAAGCAAAAAGTATTCTAAACAAAACATTTCATGTGAGAGCACATGGCTAAAGATCTATGAAAACAATTAAAAAGCTGATGGAGAATGTGGCAAACCTTTTAATTTTTTAGGTTTCTAGCAGTTGGTTATTATATACGAGAACCTAGCAGCCAATCATTTTGTCTTTTCTGAGTTAAACTCTAACCCACATCCATAAAGCAGGAATAAAGAAATTTTTTATAGGTAAGTTGGGAAACAATGCAGACCCACTTCTCCAGTAGAATTTTAGTTGAATTAAATCGTAAGAGAAACAATGATTATTGACATATTGTACTTATTGCACTACATCTGCTGAGTAGAATTTCCATTCCAAGTGTTGTTTTCATCTTCACCATCATCTTGAGTCCTCAATCTATATATCTTCCCCTCCTTTTTAAAATCTTCCCCTCGTTTCTCCAGCACTCTTTTTCTGACTGGTTCCCTGATATAAAAGAAGATACATGTTGACATAAAATGAAAACAGTGATATAAACAGTATAACAAACCTATCCTTCAAACTTCTATTAGTACATTTTATTTTTAAATCCAATGTAAAGAAAAGTCTATGGGAGATAACTGTATCTACTAATAGTACTGAAGCTGAAGCTCTAACTCAGGGCCTCATGTTCTCACTCAGCTTTTTCACTCATTACTTAAGCCACTACTCCTGCCTTGAAAAAAATAATCTTTAAAAAAATATATAATAGCTAAGTATAGGTGGCTCACACCTATAATCCTAGCTACTCAGGAGTCTAAGATCTGAGGATAGTGGTTCAAAGCCAGCCTGGGCAAGAAAGTCTGTGAGACTCTCATCTCCAATTAACCACCAAAAAGCTAGAAGTGAAGCTGTGGCTCAAGTGTTTATGCACTAGCTTTGAGTAAAAAAGCTCAGGGACAGCACCCAGGCCCTACATTCAAGCCCCATGACCTACCAAAAAAAAAAAAAAAGGCACCGATGCCTCACAGCTGTAATCCTAGCTACTCAGGAGGCTGAGATCTGAGGATTGCAGTTCAAAGCCAGCCCAGGCAGGAAAGTCTGGGAGACTCTGATCTGCAATGAACCACACTCTGAAAACCAGAAGTGGTAATATGGCTCAAGTGGTAGAGCATGCGATGAAGAACTGAAAAGCTCAGGGACAGCACCCAGGCTCAGAGTTCAAGCCTCACAACTGACAAAAACCAAACCAAACACTTGGTATTATCTGAGTATTTTACATTGGACAAAACAAAAATAGTTACCTTTTTTCTGATTTGCTAGATGATGCAGAGTTTAAAGGTTCAGGTGATGCTGCTGTTGCTGAAGTCTGTGCAGGAGGATTACTAAATAAGAAATTGCTAATCAATCTCCAGATGGCAAGGAATGGATAAAGTACTGTCCCCAATAAGGTCCAAATATCTCCACTGGAAGAGTGTACAACAGATGTAGCTGGCCGTCCTGCCTAAAAATTAAAAAATAAACAAACTAAATAAAGATAAACATTAGCACAATCATCACACCGAAGATTCTAGACCTGGTTTTATTATCTGTAGAAGGTGCTTGCTACTGGTTTTATTTGCTGCAAGAGGATAAAATTGCCTTTGATATTTCCCAAGTGTACATAAACTTCTAGGAGCTCCTGGAACTGCTTTTTTCCCTGTTAACAGTCATTATAGCAAAGTAGTGTTTACTGGTGAGTAAGGAATTTTTTTTTTTGGTTATGGGGGTTGGATTCAGGACCTGAGTGCTGACCCTGAGCCCTTTGGTTCAAGGCTAGCACTTTACCACTTTGAACCACAGTGCCCCTTCTGAACCACAGTGCCCCTTCTGGTTTTCTGGTGTTTAATTTTTTTAATTTTTTTAAATTTTTTTATTTTTTGGGTCCGGTCGTGGGGCCTGAACTCTGGGCCTGGGCACTGTCCCTTCAAGACTAGCACTCTACCACTTGGGCCACAGCGCCACTTCCGGCTTTTTTCTTTTTGCTTATGTGGTGCTGAGGAATCGAACCTAGGGCCTTATGAATGCAAGGCAAGCGCTCTACCCACTGAGCCACCTTCCCAGCCCCATGGTGTTTAATTTTTTCATGGGAAAAAAAAAAAAGCAACTCATGGACTTTCCTGCCTAGGCTGACTTCAAACCATGATCCTGAGATCTTAGCCACCTGAGTAACTAGGATTACAGATGTGAGCCATTAGTGCCCAGTGAACTCAAAGAATTATGAAAAAAATTTCACATGAAATACCTCTGATAATTAAAGTCTTTCTTGTTGATAAAAGTTTCAAACATCAGTGGATACAATGAAATCCTACCATATTTTTTTTTCTTTTGTGGGTACGGTGCTCTAATTTAGAGTGGGGAAAACCACACCGATTATAACACCAAGTCCAGGCTCTCGTCCTAGGCACCTAAGAAGGGACATTGGCACCATCTATTTTTCCTTTTTTTGGGTCCAGTCGTGGGCCTGAACTCTGGGCCTGGGCGCTGTTCCTCAGCTCTTCAGCTCAAGGCTAGCACTCTACCACTTGAGCCACAGTGCCACTTCCGGCTTTTTTCTTTTTGCTTATGTGGTGCTG